CTTACCGGAAGTTTGAGAAAGCCGGAAAGGGACCCGTTTCTGGCATCCAGAGCCTTGGGAGGCTGTTTTCATCCTCCCAGAGGCTCAAGAAAAGCCTCCTACACCACGGCAAGGGGTGGGGAGATTGCCCTCCCCGGGCTCCAGAGGCTTTTCTTGAGCCTCTGGGAGGATGAAAACAGCCTCCCAAGGCTCTGGATGCCAGAAACGGGTCCCTTTCCGGCTTTCTCAAACTTCCGGTAAGCCTGTTTTTCACCCTCCCCAAGCCTCTGCCCTGCACTTACCTGCACCCAAAATGGGTCATGTGGGAACTCCTGGGAGGGAGGGGTGTGCCAGCCAAGAGTGGGATTTTGGGGTTCTGTGAACTGCACAGAATCTTAGCTAGAGGTTTTCCCGAACCACTGCGAACTCCCAGCAGCCCACCTGAGCTTGGTACCATGACAGAAAAAGCTCATTTCCTGGGTCCCCAAGATGACATTCCTTAAATGGCAGGAACCATGTCTCCTACCAGATCTAATGGGATGGGTAGAAGTGTTTGGGGGGAGGGGGCCCCAACAAATAAACCAGTCCCGTAACATGCTTTCATTTCTAAGGATCAAGAGAGGAATTAATTACAAGATACAAAATTGTGTCATCTATGCAGAAAGAAAGAAAAAAGATCCTGAGCTGTAGAGAAACTATAGTTATGATTATCATCATAAACATTATTTTATAAAACATATCAAAAGATGCCAAAGACACGACTTGCTCACATGCCTGCTGTTCTCCATATGTGCATCCAACCATCCTTTAATGCCAAGTGTTAAAGAATATTGCTGAATTGATTTAAGATACGATCAAGTAACTTTGCTGGAGAGATTAGGTAACCAATTAATTTCATTAACAACACAGCTAGGCAGTATTTCTAGATGTATACAGAGCTTTCAGAAAGACCAAACAATAGTGACATACTGCAAAACAAAGGCACATCTGCTTTACAAATTAACATGTGTTTGAAATCAGATTTACTAGCTGGAGATAGGCCACATTACACTATTGTTTAATTTTTTCAGAGTTGAAGGCAGCTTGAAAAATGTAACACTGCTGAAAAGGAAAAATTCATCATACTGTTACTCCTGCTATGAAGGTATTGCAAATGATTGTGATATTTCACAAACCTGCTCACTCTGCCTGTTAGCAGGAATAGTAAGTCAAAAGAAAGATTTGTTTGGCCTCACACTATGGGATACAACACTTCTAAGTCACATTCAACTGGTTTAGAAAACACTTATTTGCCTTTTTTTAAAAACAACCCAGAAGACTGTACTTCTAGTAGAGTTTTTAAGATCGTGCTTTCTAAACTTATCAGAAAACTTGTATTTCCGTGATTCCCATGATATCAGAAACACAAAATTAATGAAATAATCTTAAAATTGGTCTCATTTTTCAATATTAATATAGTTCATATAAATCGCACCATATAAGCCTTAGTACACCATTTCAAAAATTAAATGACAATCTTCATTTTCATGAGGCTCATTACGTATAAAGTTGTCTTACCTGGGGTTTTTATTGTTCAAACTGAGAGCAATCTCATTAACAGCGTGAGGATGTGACATGACCAAATTGAATCCATACTGGAAGGGAAAGAAATGTATATAAATATTAGAAATTATAAGAAACAGTCAACTAAACAAATAGCCTTATTTAAAATGTAACACACATATCTAGAGTCCCAAAGGTGCTTTTTCAAAAGGCAACTGTTTTTCCTTGAAAAAGTTTTACTTCTCATCCAAGAAGCTTCTTCAGTTCTGACAAGAACTGAAGAAGCTTCGTGGATGAGAAGCAAAACATCTTCAAGGAAAAACAGTTGCCTTTTGAAAAAGTACCTTTGGGACAGCCATGACCTGCATGACTCAGAATCTCTATAGACATGTAGTGTCTATAAAGAGAGGTGGTTAAAGAAAGAGAGAAGTGAGAAATGTAAACAACAGACAACAGTATATGAAGCACTGTGCAAATCTGTTGGAAACAAGGATGGTTTACAACAATAAAAAGGTATGGAGAAATACATAGAAAGCTGTTTACGTAAAGTAGATACAGACAGTTTCCTTTTTTGCCCCTCTTGACATTATTACTATTATTTTTGGCTTCTTTTAAATTAATATATTTCTGTACTCTGCATTAAGTTAATTATCTTGAAAAGGGATGTTGCAATGAGTAGGCAGGCATATATGGTTGATTTTTTTAAAAATCATTTTATATAAATAAACAAAATATTAAGT